GGCCACTTAACAAATTACCATAAAATCAGTGGCTTAAAACAGCACAAGTGTATTATTATCTTATAGTTCTGCAGATCAGAAGTATAAAAAAAAGTTGGAAGGGCCGAATTCTTTCCAGATGCTCTAGGTCAGTGGTTCTCAACCTTTCTAATGCTGTGATCCTTTAATACAGTTCCTCATGTTGTGGTGACCCCCAATCATGAAATTATTCTCGTTGCTACTTCATAATTGTAATTTTGCTACTGTTAATGAATCATAATGTAAATATCAGTGTTTTCCGATGATCTTAGGCAACCCACAGGTTGAGAACTGCTGCTGTAGAGCTTAAGACCATTGGAAAATTTTATGGTTGGGGATCAGCACAACATAAGGAATTGTATTAAAGGGTCACGGCAATAGAAAGGTTGAGAACCACTGAGCTAGGGAGAACCATTCTTTTCCCTTTTAGCTTCTAGAGGTTACATATATTCCTTGGCTTGTGGCCATGTCACTGAAGCCTCTACTTCTATTATCACATCTCTTTCTCTGATTCTGACTCTCCTGCTCCCTTATCCCTTATCGGAGCCCTGTTACTACATGACTCCATCCAGATAATTCTGGATAATTTCCAAATTTCAAGATCTTTCTCAGTTGCATCTGCAAAGTGCTTTTTGCCATAGGATCCAGGGATAGGAATTGGACACCTTTGGAGGCATTATTCTGCTTACCACCAAGGGAAAAGCACTGGCTGAACTCTTGAGATCACTTAAGCCAGAGGTGTCCAACCCGAGGTGATTATGCTGCTTGGAGACACCAGTATTTGGCAGTATCTGGAGACATTTCTGGTAGTCATAACTGGGGAAGGGGGGTTGTTACAGGGCATCTAGTGGGTAGAATACAGGGAAACTGCTGAACATCATACAATGTACAGGACAGCAACCTCCTCCCAACAAAGACTTATCCAGCCTAAAATGTCAACAGTGATGAAGCTGAGAACCAGTGATTGAAAGCATGTGATTCCTGGAAATCTTCTGCGTCGGCAAGGTTGCCACACAACGGGAGTATGGCAGGGCTTAGATTTATACAGAGATGTTTGAGAAATCACATACAAGCTCTATAACCCCGTGTTTTTGACAATCTTATATGGTAAATAAGAGATGAATAACATGACTCATACTTTAATAGTAGGGTTTTAAGCAATGCCCTAACTTGTTATTTGTTGAGTAGTTTGTTTTATTTTAGGTCTGGTGTAATCTTTCACAAGGCTGCATTTCATATATAGACAAGTTCATTTCAAGTATATATTATAAACATCATTTTTATGGATATTATGAATGTTTAAACTCGCAGATGCTCAGATATAAGTACCTCACACCAAACAGATTTCAAGGTGACCCAGGGTCTTCTGCAATATTTTATTTTTGCCTTAGTATGGCCTCTCGACCTCACAGGATCAAAGAGAAAGGAACACTTACATGGTATCCCTTCCACTGGGAGGAAGATTTAACTTATAATAGAATCAACATTCACTTAAATGTAAGCACCTTGGCTTATGTTTACAATGCTTAATTTTTCAATTCTCAAGAATTTCTGTGCTTTGGTTTAAATTTTTCCTGTCTTTTAAAATAATTTATAGAATTGCTAGTAGAGGACCTTATATGTTTTTCTACATTTTTTTCCATCTTCCTTTTCTTTTCCATCCTTCTCCACTCTTCTCATTCTCTCCCTTTCTTGGTTACTTTCTTTCTGCTCAAGAGTTCCCCAACTGTTTTTAATTTGCAGCAACTTAAAAATGTAATAGTTGCCGAGACCAGTTTGGCTCAGTGGATAGAGCGTCGGCCTGCGGACTGAAAGGTCCCAGGTTCGATTCCGGTCAGGGGCATGTACCTTGGTTGCGGGCACATCCCCAATAGGGGGTGTGCAAGAGGCAGCTGGTCGATGATTCTCTCTCATTGATGTTTCTGACTCTCTATCCCTCTCTCTTCCTCTCTGTGAAAAATCAATAAAATATATATTTTTTTAAAAATGTAATAGTTGTATAATCAATGGCAGAAAAGACTTCTTAACCAGCAAAGGACTGTGCATGTGTGCATGGTTGTGAAAATGTTACCCATAAGGGTGAATTTGAACTTCTTTTTTTTTTTTTCACCCAGGAAGAATAATAACTATGAATATGAAAGTATTCTAACAGATTGTGAACCAAGAGAGCAGAATGAAAAAACACACACAGCAACCTTGTTTACCACTGAAGCTATTTCTATTGTGTACATTTCTCTGCCAAGATACAGTTCTACAAAGCGTTTTACATTTGCTATGATTTCTAAGCTACAACGTAATGATACAGGTTAAACACATTTTAATGAGTTGAAACTTGCCAAGCAGTATTTAACAAGCCAAAGCCATACATCCCCCTAAACATTAAGTCACACCTAAGATTCCAGATTTCAAGCATCACATTGCTCATTGGGGTAGGTACCACTAGAGGAAACTACAGAGATCTCTGTCTGCCTACTAGTCAAAGGATGCAATTTCTTCAAAAACCAAATGCAAGAAAAAAGAAAGAGAGAGAGAGAAAGAGGAGTGTGAGCGAGAAAAGAAGGTGTGAAAGAGACTTAAGAGATGTGTCAAGTGTATTAAAGACTGAGAAACTTGGAGCTAATTAGAGGTCAATGCCTAAGTGAAAGTTTCTCAAAACTGGATGGTGTGAGCACAGAACAGGGCAGCTGGTAGAGGGAAAGGAGGGGGAGGATTTGGGGAGAGAACAAATGGTAACTTTGACAACTTGGGCACATATCAACTCTGGCACAGGGTCCCTGGATAGCTCCCAGCCAAGGCACCTGTACCACCATTTCCCTGGGGGAAAAGGAACTTGTTTTGTTTCAAGGAAAGCCCATGGGCAACAAATGACTGTTAGCCCAGTCAGGTCTCTCTCGAGCTGCCCATATCAGGTCTCAGGGGTATGTACAGCTAGTGACTAAGACCCAGAGCTATATAAATAAACAAATAAACAATCCAAAAGCAATACAGAAATGCAAAGGAGCACATATTCAGGATATTAGACTATCACCTTTCATCCCAAGATAGTTTCCCATTATTATTTTGCAAAGGTCCGTGAATAACAGAAACCCAGATAAGAATACCCACCAACAAATGGTTAAAAATCCTTTGGAACACATTATTCATTGGAAAGAAGTTTAGAATCTCTTGTCAAAGGACAATAATATTTTACTTATATCCAGGGTGCTTATATCCAAGCTCTCAGCAACATGCCGCTATCTCCCGTGTCTACATTGTCACCCCTTTCTTCTCCTGGTCAACATGCTCTTCTTTTTTTCACCACACTGTAATGCATGTGACTTCTGCAGCTCCTCAAACTTCACCGACTTTTCTCTTCCTTCTACTCTAGTTTTTCTTTAATCCTCACCAGAGAAGACATTTTTTCAATTGATTTTTTTTTTAATGTCATTATTGATTTTTTAGAGAGAGGAAGGGAGAGGGATAGATAGAAACATGGATGAGAGAGAAACAACGATCAGCTGCCTCCTGCACAGTGGGGGGCTGGGCCCACAACCAGGGCACGTGCCCTGACTAAGATTCAACCTCGTGGCTCATGGGTCGATACTCAACCACTGAGCGATACTAGTTGGGCCTTATTTCTACCAATTTTTAGGGAGAGAGAAGAAAGAGGAGGGAAGGGGAGAGATCACAGAGAGAAACACCAATGTAAGAGAGACATATCAATTGGTTGCCTCCCACATGCACCCCAACTAGGGAGGGGATCGAACCTGCAAGCCAGGTACGTGCCCTTAACTGGAAATCAAACACAAGACCCGCGGGTGCCTAGGCTGACACTCTAACCACTGAGTGATGCCATCCAGGGCCTTCTACTTTAATTTGACGTCCAATGTCCTTTAAGTTCAGCCATTACACCTCTTCTCCTTTTGGGAACTCAAATACTCCTAAGACTAGGTTATTGCCCCTGGGCTGACACATCCTAATCCATCCCATGAAAGACTCTCTAACCCTCCATCTCTACCTTCCTGCTTTCTCTCCCACTTGGATGTTACCCCAGCTTAGACTCATCTTGTCCAACTCCATATTTATCACATCTCTCCCTAGAACAAACTTACCTCCTACCTTCTCTACTTCTAAGTGAACTGACACCATTTTCCTGAGTCCCTTTAGGTTTTAAAACTTGGCATCATTTCCAAATTATTCATATCCTTCACTTAGCAGCAAGTCAGTCTATCAAGCCAGCCAATTCTCTCTCCACAATCCCACAGTTGTCTCATCCACCACAGGCCAACCTCCCCATCACACCTGAGTTACAGCAACAGCCCCTACTGCCCACTCTTCCTGGATTCTTACTTCTCACTTAATCCACCCAGCCTAGCATTCCCAGAATCACCTTTCAACATTTGCCTCACCGAGTGACCTGTTCAGGAAAATATCCATTTCTTTGTTATCATAGCATCAAGGCTAAACATAAATTTTCCAAGCTCTCAGCAACATGCCGCTATCTCCCGTGTCTACAATGTCACTGCTTCTCAACAATATGAAAACTCCTGCTGTTTTTTTCTCCTTGTTGGGAACTCCCTCTCTTGTATCTCCACTTCAAATCCTGACCCTGCTTCAAGGCCCCTCACAAATGTCCACTTCTCCATGTAGCTTAAATGACTACATGTCACCCCCTTCTTTGTTCTTGCCCCTCACATGACTTGCATGATCACCATTTTATACATGCTGATTTTCTTTCTGCAACTACATGGCAAGTTCCATAAAGCTAGCACTATAGTTTGTTTTCTACTGCTCTACATACACTCCAGAGCTGAAGGACTGAGGTCTTTTTAGAATAAATAAGTTAATGAATCTACTATTTAAATACATTTCTACTATAAATAATTGATCTATAAGTAAATGAATAAAATCATAAAACAAATGTAGAGATATATATTAGCATTTGATTTTTAAATGTTAAACATTAATTATAAAACTATTCAATTTAAAAGCCACCTTCTTACCTGATTTTATGCAGTCTGATGTCTTGCAAATACCATCTAGAAAAAGGAGAGTATATACATAAATATTTATAATTACATTTTCCAATTCCTCCCTAACTTTTGTTCTTCTAAAAACTACCAATTAAATGGTCAGTTCTGTAAAGCAAGAACTAAACCTGAGCATTACATGTCATTGTTAGTAGCTAGAAAGACATAGAGGAATAAAGTGGGAAAATCCTAAATTTGACATTTTCATTATGAATAAAATGTATTTATTACCTCATCTCTACCCCACTAAGCTCTAGGTGTTTTAAATTGAAATAATCAGTTGTTTTAGTCCGGTAATCATGGTGGGGTTTTTATTTTGTTTTGTTTTGCCTTTAAGAAACCAATAGTTTCTAATCCTTATTGTAAAACACTTCTAAGTCTCAAATGAGACCTCTTAAAATCCCGTGAAGCCCTTTAGAATTTCAATGACACAACACTACTGACTAATTGAAGCTGACCACGAAATTGTGTATACTTTAATCAAATAAAATTATACATCAGAACCCTCATAAAGTAAGCATGAGTGCATTAAATACACTCTGCAATTAATAATTTAACTCAAACATAAAAGACACTGTACTTCAGTCAGTTAATTGTTTCAACATATTGATAGTGCATTTTGTAACAGAATCTTTATAGCATCATCTTTCAGTTAATAGTTTTTCTCCTTAACCCCCCGGGAGACGGGGAAAGTATGAGATGAAAAGTTTCCTCTCCTCTGCATTTGTGTGAACAGGTGTGGGAGCAGCTCACCGTCATAGGTTGCATAGAGGGCTATCATGGTCACAGCAATGATGGTGAGGAGCAGGACGAGGATGGAGAGATTGATCTCCAAGGAGGTCCATCGCTGTTTCTTCTTTGGCTTCGGGGTGTTGATATCAGTTATATCCATCTGACTTTCTGATCTGCCCATCACCTAAAATCTGCAAAAAGTGGAAAAATAATCTTTAAGTGCCAATAACCAATTAATACACAGATAAAAAGAAGAGGAACGATATATACAATATTCCAAATGCTACATGAGGCTGAATAAAAGTAAAGGTTAATTTATTTTAAATAAAAAACACAACTTTTAGGTTCAAAGTCAAAATGTGGATTCTGACAGTGAAGGATATAGAGGCAGAAGCATTGGATAGATCCCTGTCACCACCTTTTGGTTCTTTTTTTAAAATAGAAATAGTCACAGAAGATCCAAGCAAAAATAGACAAGAGACTCGGTTAAATACTTACACATAGGATTCCTTCAGCAGTTCATAAGCAACTAATTACTGTGCCGTCATTAAGGAGAGTTTTAAACCACCCTTCTGAACTTTGGACAACATCAAAGGTGAATTTTATATCTTGTTCCAGTGGATTCATTTGTATACTTGGAAATCAATGACTAACGTTTTGAGGTTTTGACTAAGCAGTAATTAGAAATGAGTCCAGATAAAAAAACAAAAATTAATAAACACCTGCAATAGTTTTATACTTTTAGTCTTAAAAACAACGTTTAGAGTTCAAAATTATGAGTATTGCTGATGTGGGTATCTATTAACTGGCTAGACAGCATTGTGAAATGGTCACTCATTGGACCAAAAGTCGGTGGTTTACTTCCACGAATGAAAGATTTTAATCATAATCTCTTTATGCAGCTAAAGAACAAAAATATGGCCCTGGCTGGTTTGGCTCAGTGGACAGAGCGTCGGCCTGTGGACTGAAGGGTCCCAGGTTCGATTCCAGTCGGGGGGCACATGCCTGAATTGCAGGCTTAATCACCAGTAGAGGGCTTATAGGAGGCAGCTGATCATTGATTCTCTCATCATTGATGTTTTTATCTCTCCCTATTCCTTCCTCTCTGAAATCAATAAAAATATATTTTTAAAAATAAAGAAAGAAAGAAAGAAAGAAAGAAAGAAAGAAAGAAAGAAAGAAAGAAAGAAAGAAAGAACAAAAATATGGTTTTAAAAAGTCTACCTTGTATGTCAGGGTGACAATGGTTAAGATATTTATTTAACTTGTATTTAAATTAATATTTCTACTATTAACAGCTGACACTTATTAAGAACTTTCCATGTGTCAGTCACAGTTCTTCATGCTTTACATGTACTAATTTATTTCATCTTTGTAAGGTAGATATTAATATTCCAATCCTCAGGAAACTGAGGCACAGAATGATCAGGTAATTAGCCTCAGGCTACATAACTAGAAAATGTTCTTTATAAAAAAAGGAACACATTTGGTCACTGTTTGACATATTTTAATCACCTTATAATAAAAGCTATCTTGAATCATACTGCATAAGCTTGTGGGGAGGAGGGCGGTGTAAGGAATATAAGCCTAAAAATCAAATGCCATTATGGTTCTTTTGGAAGCCAATTGATTGTCTATGGGCCATCTACCAACTGCAGGGCTGAAGAAAAGAGCACTGCAAACTAACAGATTAGCTTTTTATACCTGGTACAAATTAAGCATATAATTTAGTTCCTAGACGAAGCCACTGCTCAGAATTGCTGTTATAGTTAAAGATCTCTGTTAAACACACACACAATTCCCTGAGGGTGTGTTTTGTGAAAATTGAGGCACAGGATAAACTAGAAACAGAGTCTTACATTTGAAGCCTGGCCGGGGAGATTCAGCAAATTACCAGAAATTTAATCTCTGTGGTGAATTATTAATAAGTGAACCACAACTAGACTCTAAAGTTCTGAATACCAAGTCTTAAGCAAGCTTACAGGAGGCTATAACCAAGGACAGACTTTCAAATAAAAATATTTTATTAGACCATGAAAACCATGTCTGCTCAATAAAAGTGGAATGTAATGTACCTGAATGTTAAAATGTCTTCCTTAATAGTTATGCAACTCATGCTGGCTTGGTCTCACACAGCCCCTGGGGTTATGATATGGAATTGCATTGATGGTAGTCTTCATAGTTTTAATAAGGGTGGTTGTGGGGGAGGGGGTGAGAGGGTGAAATATGGGAACACATTTAATACTTGGACACCATACACAGAGATAAACAATAAAAAAAAATAACTTTGCAAGTTCTCCCCAAAGGAGTTGAGACTGACCTAGAGAACATCTGAATATTAATCACTTTGCACAAATATTTCCCTTCCTTTCTTGAGTATTTCTCTTCTCTCCCCCCTTCTCCACCCCCTCACCACCACCACCACCCCCGCCCTCAACACCCCACCCGGCTGGCTCTCATACTTAAGAAGATAATCTAAAAAACACTGTCCTGGTGTCACAGAACCCACTTCTGTCTTCAGTTCTTCCTTTGAAACAACAATCAGGAAAACTTCTGGGATCTTAATGATTCTGCACCTAAGGCGGCAGAAACTTGTAGGGGGCAGTGACCAAAGAAGGCTAGTCCTTTTGCCTATGTCAAAAGATTATCAGCTTTGTGCCACCTGCAAACTCTCCGTCTTCTGGTAAGCCCCCTGCAAATCTCAGTTTTTGTTCCTCAGTGTCACTTTTTACCGTCACTGAGCAAAAGCAGAAGTGATGCAAGTTGAACCTCCTAATTAACTTTCACATTCATTTCCAGGTAGTTGTGGTGGAGTCCTATCTCCTTTTAAGGTAATAGGGGTCAGAATCTTGAACCTCAGGATGTAAGATCTCATCAACTCCCAGTACCCAACTCAACCTCACCCAACATCATTTGAGAGAGTTTGGAAAGGAGAGCAATTACACAAAAGAATAAAGTTGATACCTGTAGTCCCAAAATAAAGCAAAATATGCCCAACACGTATTTCCACCTTAACTGGAGATGTTAGAAAGTTGAAACAGGAAGGAGAGACTAGATAAATTTAAGAAACCTAACCCTGAAGAACCCTGTAAGCCAGCTTGACATCACCCAAAGAATAAGTGATCATTTTGCTTAAGTAGAAGCTGAGTTTCAAAGCAATACAAAGCAGCAATGCTTATCCCCGTGGAGGATACACACCGCTTTATCAGATAATCAAATCCGAGAACTTAGCGCGTACTTGGTTTGTTAAGAGGAAGTCTATAAACCTAAGCAGTTTTCATCTTCACAACGCATTACATTTACAATTCCAGTAAGGGCCTGAGAGCACACCCTGCAATTACAGTTAGTCTTATGGAAACTGAGGCACGGAAGCCGGAGAAACAGGTTCCAGATCGAGATGGTAGCTTCAGAAGCCAAGGAGGCAGGTACTCCGCAGAAATCATCTCCTTGTTTTCCCTCAGACATTCATCTGTAGGTGTTCGCCCGGTCCGGAATCCGGAGTTCTGGATAGAAAGTCCCATACTCATTACTCCCATAGCCGGACCATGAAAGTCACTGCGTGGAGCCCAAGACACGGTCCGGGCTGGGACCCAACAGAGGGAGGAAGGCACAGGCCTTCAGAGCTGACATGCGGGTGGAGGGGTTCCCCAATACTGACACTGCAGGCCAGGTGCCTACTTTGCAGTTTAACACAATGACCATTTCGGTCAGATGTGGTAAGGACTAGACCCAGTGGCTAAAGAGGAATGTTCAATTGCAATCACCCTTATTTCCAATACACATAGATTGCGATGGGTTGAGAAAGGAAACTTTCATTTACAAAAGAACTGTTCCTACCCCACCCCCACCCCTGCCAATAACCCTCGTGTGATGAAGTGCCCCCATCGCATACATTACATAACACGAAACTATGAGTCTAGAGCAAGGTGAAGAGGTGAGAAAAATGAAAAGCTCTTCAGGTCAGGAAAAGTAAAAATAGAAAAGTGAGTGGCAAACGAGGAGCACAGCCGACAGAAACCAAAATGAAAACAAACCTTGCTTAAGAAAAAAAAAAGAAGAAGAAGAAGAATTCTGTGCACAGCGGAATGGCAAATCCCCAGTCCCCAAATCTCGGTACCCGCTCCTCACTCCCCCTGGCAGCGGCTGCAGGCATCTGTGAAAGGAATCCCAGGAGTCGACCTAAGTGCACTTCGGAGCCCTCCTGCGGGTCACCTCTCGGCCCCTCTCCCCCCTCTCCAGGTCCCAGCGCGGCTCCCGGCCGGGCACGCCTCCCTGGCCCCCCACCGCGGGGTCCGGGGCGCAGGGATCGCGCTGGACTCCGGCCGCGGACCCTGCTCCGCGCGCCTCGGGGGCAGCGGCTCCCCCGTGCCCCCGCCCCCGGTCGGCTCACCCTCCCCGCGCCCGTCCCGCGCCTCCCGCCACCCCGGGCTCCCGCGCCCTTCGGACCCTTCGGACTCTGCTCCCAGGTGCCGGCTGGCTCTCCCGGGACGCCCCCGTGGGATCGGGGAGAAGTTGGAGGCTGCGGAGCAGGCACATCCCGACCAATGAGCGCGCGGGGCCGGGAGCCCTGCGCTCTGAGCGCCGGGCAGTCCGCGCGTCCGTCCACCCGGGCGCGCCAGCCACTGGCGGCGCGGGGCTCCGGGCTCCGGCGCCGAGCCCAGGCCGGACTCCGGGGAGGTTTCTGGGCCCGCCTCGGCCCGGGCCCGGGGCGCCGGGGTCCCCGCGCATCCCTCGGACCCGCACCCGGAGACGCTCACCGTGGGCGCTCAGCAGATCCCGCGCTGGGAGTTGGGCGGCTGCTCCCGCCGGCGCTGGGTCAAGCTTCGCCACTTGCTCATCTCCGCGCCCCGCGCGTCTCGGGGCTCTCACCCCCCTCCCCCTGCCTCGCCGCTGCAGGACCAGCGAGAAGAGCAGTTCCCCGGGTGACCTGAAGGTTTCCGCTAGGTCTCCCCCAATTCGGTCACATCACGCGTGGAGGCCGTGTGTGTGTGTGTGTATGTGTGTGTGTGTGTGTGTGTGTGTGTGTGTATGATCGCGCGCGCCCCACCCCCGGCCGGTGCCCCACCTCACCCTTCCCAAAAAGAGCTTTGTCAAACATTCTTGGAATTGCTTAGCTTGGGGCAATCAAGAAAAACAATGCATTGCCTCTGATATTCTGTTAAGTGCTGATGATGAAGGGTC